GCTGCCCCAAACCGTATCCTTTGGGGACCAAAGCAATCTTTGACCAAAGATTTGTTTTTAGTTCTTAAAGTAAGAAGAATGTAGCCCTGGCAGCACTGTGTTAAAGTGTTCATCTGCTAACCGAAAGGTTGGGGGTTCAAACCTTCCAGTGGTTCTGTGGGAGAAATATGAAGCAGCCTTGGAAGATTTACAGCCTTGGGAGTCCTCTGGGGCAGTTCTGCTCTGCCGTGCCGGGTTGCCAGCAGTCAGAATCGATGCAGTGGGCCTACGTGAAGCAGGAACAGATTCTTGGCCCACCCCCTGGATTCCTGAATCATAAATGATGCGTTCTAACAACCACAGTCTCCCCACCGCTCCACTCCAGCGATTCTCATGCTCTAGGAAGTTTGGACACTTCGGATGCTGCCTCCTGAGTGTGCTGTGATGTTAGACGCCACCCGGCTGGTCCCAGCTCACAGCAGCCCGTGTGTAACCAGAGCAGTGGCGGCCCATCCTGGGCCATCCTCACAGCCGCTGCTGGGTTTGAACCTGTTGTTGTGGCCACTGTCAATCCGTCTCGTGAAGCTCTTCTTCTTTGTCATTGCCCTGCACTTACCAAGCCCGCCGTCCGTCTCCAGAGAGCGGTCTCACCCGAGGACATGGACACAGTGAACACGATGACGTCTCTCCAGTGTACTTGTGAGGTGCTTTCTGGCTTCACTTCCTTCTGTTTGTTTTCTGCTAGCACGTGGTCATTCCATGTTCTTCCCCAAAGTGAAGTTCAAATGCTCCAGTCCTTCTTCAACCACCTGCTGCTACCAAGTCAGGGTCAGCAGAGTCTGGGCTGGGGCCGGGGGTGGGGAAGGCCTAGAGGTGGGTCAGGAGCTCAGGTCCAAACCGCCGAGGGTGCAGGGTCTATTGAAACGACCGCTCTCACATGTGTACCCTCAGCTCCAAGGGAGGGTAGTAGAAGTGCCTTTTTATTATTATTATTTTATATGTGTGTGTGTGTGTGTGTGTACCGTCAAATCGGATCTGACTGGTACAGGAGGAGATTGTCCCTCCTTCTCCAGCAGAGCGTCTGGTGGATTCCAACCGCGCACCTCTGGGATTGCAGTGCAGCTTCTTGCCACTAGGCCTCCAGAGCTCCCTCCTTTTGAATTTTTGTTTGGAGTTAAAAGGAGTGAAATCCATCCAGCCTTCAGGGGTCAGAACAACTAGCACTAAAGGCCATTGACGCCATTCAGTGGCACTGCAGAGCTGTGGTTACAAGGAGTATTAAAATAGTGTTTTTTTCTAAGCACTCTGTACCCTGTTATTCAGTGGCTTTGTCCTGATATTTTTCCATCTTGCTGTCCTGGGACCTTAAGTCAAAAGGCACGTGAGCAAAGAAAAACACCCAGACTTTCTGTGGGAAGGAAAGACTCTCCCCAGCTAAGGGTGCAGGCATCCCCCGGGAACAGGCTAAGCTCTGGCAAGGTGACTTCACTGCTGGCTGCACGGTGAAGTGACCGGCTTGTGCTGACTAAGTTGGACGCTCCAGGTTATAATGTCAGCGACTATTTATTGGGGGGGTGACCCTGATGGCACCAGGCAGAGCACCCATCTGCTGAAGGTGAGTGCTTCAAACTTACCAAGAGGCTCCACGGAAGAAAGACATGGCTCTCTGCTCCTGTGAAGTCTACCCACTCCCCTCAAGTCAAATCAGCTTCCTGTTGACCCTTCGTCGGGTTTCCAAGATGCAAGTGTGTCTCAGAGAAAGTGAAGCCAGAGTGAGCGCCCCTTAGAGGCAAGGACGATAATACTTCTTCTCATGTTCCCTGGTCATGTTGTCAGGAGGGGAAAGACCGCCTGCTGGGCAAGGTGGAGGGTCAGAGAAAGAGAGGAAGACCCTGCCCAGATGTCTGGACACAGTGACTGTAACAGTGGACTCACACTGCCGTGGGCACGGAGCAGGTCAGAGCAAAGTGCAGACGTGTGTTCAGAAGATTGCTGAGTCCTGGTTGGCTCAATGGCACATACCAGCAGTAAACAAGAGGACGCGTCTCTGGCCTCCTAAGGCGCTTTCTGGCTGTGCTTCCTTCAAGACAGATTTGTTTTCCTAGCAGAACATGGCACATTCAATGTTCCTCCCCAAATAATCCTGTCTAAGAGAACAAAGAAATATGTCCTGGAGAAGGTGCAGCCGGGGGGGCATCTTGAAGGCAAGGGTGGCGAAGCCTCATCTCATGTATTTTGAGTGCGTCATATATTTTGGAGGGCCCTTGTCTTGGAAAAGGCCGTCATGCTTGGAAAGATGGAGGCTCAGCAAGAAAGTAGAAGACCTTCAGTGAGATGGACTGACTCAGTGACCACAGCAGTGGGCTCTGGTGTATGAGAGATGGTGCAATGTCAGAGGACAAGACGGGGCTCACATCTGTGCGTCACTGAGTCACGCTCGATTCCATGGAGTCGAACAACATTTCTTCTTTTCTGTTGGATGAAACCACTCTCACGTACACACCTGTTACTTGGTAAATGAGCACTGTATCAATATATCAATTATAGATCGATATTAAGAATATAGTAGATTAAGTAGATTACAGGTGTCAATGTTTTGATGCTGTGTGTGTGATCACAGGTCAGTACAGGACATTTTGGTGATGCAGTCATAGAAAAATTAGCCATTTCCAAATTCTGTATCTGAAGACATAAATGGTTTTTCTGTTCTCTATTTTACATGAAGATAAAATACTCTTGCTAATCTATAATTATGCTCTAGAAATTCTTACAGTTAAAAAAAATCTGACAAGCGCCATTTATCTTTGGTAGAGATTTTAATGGAATGTGTGAAAAGTTTTCTGCTGGGGTTCTATGTTCTTAATAAAAGAAATATGGAATTTCAGGGTGATAATTTTCCTTATAAACATTTGTAGAAAAGATTATCATAAAAGCTGTTTCCTAAAGTTGAGTACTTCTTAGAGTTGAAGATGACGAAACTTCCCCTTTCAAACTTTGGACGTGTGGCTAGGTGAGCCTATTCCCTGGAAAAAGGACATCATGTTTGGAAGGATGGAGGGGCAGTGAAGGAGAGGAAGACCCCCGATGAGATGGAGTGACACTGACTTCAGCAGTGGGCTCTGGTGTCTCAGAGAGGATGAGAGGGGCACAGACAGGGCAGGTTTCAGGATGGCTGTTCACAGGGTCACTGTGAGTTGGACTCGGCTCAGTGGCACCTAAAATAACAAGAGTGGGAATATATTCTCCATCAGAAAAAGCCACAAATTCTACTTCCTAGTTCATTTGCATACTGCTTGGGTCAGCATCCAAGTTTCAATTAAAGATCTTGATTGCACTCTGGTACCGTAGTCCACAGGGAGCTGCACTGCCAACCCAGAAGCTGAGTCTCTGTAGCCGCTCAAGCCCGTCAGAGACGCGGAGGGAGAAAGATGGGCCGTCTCCTCCCAAGAAATGAACGTCCTCAGAAACCCAGAGCAGGGCCAGCTATGAGTCATTTCTGACTTGATGCAATACATTGTTGGCGTGGGGTTTTGTTGCCGTTGTTTTGAGGTTTATTTTATATATTTACCTGGAGATACAGAGAGAAAAGATGAGTCAGGGGTTGGAGAAGGGAAAGTGCTGTGTCGAGTTACTTCTGTTAACTTGGACTTGAACGGTGCCTACCTGCCATGACTGGTCATTATAATCAAAGATGTATCGACAAACTTTGATTAAAAAGTAGCAAAAGTGTTAAACAGTGTTAAAATTTTCCATGTAAGCCAGACTTCCTGGGTGATCCCTGAAATTGTTGTCCTGAGATAATCTTTAAATATTAAACCAGAAATCTCCCCTAAAGTCGTCTTTGAATGAAAATATCATTTCTCTTCATGGTAAAGTGTGTCTATCAGGAGCATTCCACTCCTTCAGAGAATTACACATTCCAGTCTTAGAGCCTCAGGGACACACCTTCAGGGAACATCAACTGGCATAACAGTGTCCACAAAAATAATGTTCTCCTCTGATGGGCTGTCGTTTGGTGCTCAGTTGGAAGAGACCCGCAGCTGACCCTCCTGCAGGTTTTCAGAGGCAATAAATTGCATGGGAGGAGACTGCCCATCCTTCTCCTGCAGAGCTGCTGGTGGGTTTGAACTGTGTGCCTTAGGGATTGCAGCACAGCTTCTTAGCACTAGGCCACCAGAGCTCCCTGATGAGTAGTGGGGTCTTAGAAGCTTGCAGGTGGTCTTCCTCTCTCTCTAGAACTAGGAACATCAAAGAGGCATAGAAACACTTACTTCAGAGGTCCCATGAATTTCAACCTTCATGACCCTGAGACTAGAGGGGCTGGACAGTGCCTGGCTTCCACTGCCCACGACTCTAACAGGGGTCACAACAGAACATGGACAGAGTGGGGGAGCAATGTGGACTGAGACTCAAAATTACAAACAGGCTTGCTCATCTGGTACAGACCAGGCGGACCCCAGAGAGGGGGCCCTGCCTCCCTGGAGCCTGGGACCACGGTCACCATGTGGTCAGCTTTCATCCAGACAGTAGACAAGCTTCTGAGGAGGCGCACTTGCTCCGTAGGACTCATCACACAGACTCCTAGGAACACTACTTTCCCAAGACGACAACTCAGGAGACAAGAAAACTAGTTTAGAAAAGAAAGACTTCTCAGTGTGAGATCAAACTGACCACAGTGTACAGGGTCAATGGGTCTCCTTCAGTGGTGGTGAAACAGGTGGGAGGATGGAGAGACCATTGGCTTCACGACTGTCAGCGAGACCAAGATGTGTGTGTAGTTGTTGAGATGCTGCAGTATGGCTTTCATCTTAACATAAAACTACATCTCTCACTAGAGCTGGAATTTGCAAAGGCAGCAGCAGCAGGTGCTGCAGGCCGCCTCTGCAGACCTGGCTTTCTTGATGCTCAGGACTAGAGGACGGTCTGTGTGGAGCCCCCGTGCTTGCTGTGTGGGGCTGACCACGCCCCTGGCTGCAGCCCTGGCTACAAGGCTAACACTTAGGCCTCTGTTTCCTTGGCAGACTGCGTCATCTGCTATCAAAGGTGCTATCCAGCTGGGGATCGGCTACACAGTGGGCAATCTCACTTCCAAGCCAGACCGAGATGTGCTCATGCAGGACTTCTACGTGGTGGAAAGCGTGTTCCTCCCCAGGTAAGAGCTTCTGTGTGGAGGAATCTCCTGTGGCTGAGGGTGGCTTCGCCGTGCACGTCATGGTGTGAGCCTGGAACTCAGGCAGGGCCCACAGCGGACAGTGCTTATCCCTAGCACACGTCACGGCCTGCATTGTGTGTGTAGGAGTGAGTGTGGGGGGCACACGTGAAGAGAGAGAGAGAGAGACAGATGGTAGATGGGTTTCAGTAGGTGGGTTGTCTTTTGCTCTGAGAAAAGTCCAGACTGTATGGAAGAAGATTTCGAGATGCAGGTTGAGGTCATCAAAGCATGTCACCTTGTCCAGAGTGCAGATAGAGGGGACTCGGGAAGGAGCTGTGCTGCCAACCCAAAGGCAAGTGGTTCAGATCCACTAACCACTCCTCGGGAGAATGGTGGGCAGTCTCCTTCCATGATGCTTCCAGCCTCTGAAAACCGGCTGGAGGGTCAGCGATGAATGGTCCCAACTCGAAAGCAATGAGCTGAGTTGTTGAGTCATGTAAAAGAAGCCGCCAAAGTCTAACCCACCGCCACCTCATCGGTCCTGCTCCCGGTGACCCTGTGGGGCAGGCTGTCCTTTTCTGTGACCGTGTCCTGCCTTTGTCCCGCCGGCCACTGCTGGATCCTTCTGGTTAGCCACTGGGCACTTAAACAGTGGTGACACTTACGTAAAGTCACTTCAGGTTTCCTGGTTCCCGGGACCATCAGCATGGCCCCACAGAGTGATGGACAAATGCAGGGACTTGATTGCCATGATGGCTGCACAAGTGTGCTGGGGTTTATGTAGATAACACGTGCATGGAGTGGTTTTTGTAACCGTGTAACCTTAGCACGTCAGTTTCCTCTGTGTGCTGTGTACACACTTGTGTCAAGCACATTATATGCAGACATGCGGTGTGCTTATGTCAAAACCTAGCGAATTGTACACTTAATGTGTGCCAATTATATCTCCAGAAAGCTGCTCCAGATTGCTCCCACGTGTTTTAAAACCATGCTGGAGTGGAGGTGGCGGGGCGGGCAGAACCTGGCGGGGTATAAGCCCCTCAGCTCTCAGAAGTCTCTCTTCTTTCTGATGCTGTTGTGAGGTTCCATCAGGTCAATTCCAACTCACAGTGACCCCAAGGACAGGGGGCCCAAACCCCGCCTGGCCCTGCCCTTTCCCACCGTCTCCACCTGCTGGAGCCCGCCGTGTGCTCACTGTGTGTCCATCTCATGAGGGGCTTGCCCCTCCTCACTGACCCTCCACTTCCCCCTGATGTCCTTCTCCGGGGACAGGTCCCTCCGGATAACATGTCCAAAGTGAGTGAGGCCAAGTTTCACAAATTGGTGTCGCCCTGGAGTTAACACTGCTGTTGATTATTATTTTATGCCTACAAGTCGGAATCGACTCCTAACTGACTCTCCAGTGAGTGTTCAGGTCTGTGGATCTCACAGGAAGACAATGTCCATCCTTCTCCCTCAGAGAACCTGGTGGATTCACACCACCTGCCTTTGGGTTGGCGATGTAACTCCTTACCCATTAGGCCACCAGACTTCCACAATTCCCTAGAGTTGTCAAGAAGCCCAAGCCCATGACTGTGTATGACTGATGTTTACAGCTTGAAACGAGAGAAGCTGAACTCAGACACCCCAGAGCTCTGTGTCTTAGCTGTCAGGCCAGCCCCTAAAATGCCTTAGTCACTCAGCTGCTTCTCCCCACACTGTGTGCTGAACCGCTCGTGCAGGCACCAGTGTGGTACCCGTTTATCTATCAGATGCTGAAGCCTGCCGGTCCATTCACGAGTCTGTGCAGCTCACGTGTTCATTTAACACCAGAAGCTACGCAATGGGGATTTCAGATACCAACAGTGGAGCTTCCAGACGAACACAGACCGGGCAGGCTTCCTTCCAGAACCATCCAGGAAGGGTGTGTGGGCATAACCGGATATGATTCACTGGAGTGTGGAAGACGGGCCTGCTGGCGGACCTGCACACACAGCGACCACACCATGGGCCAGAGAAGTCCAGCGGCCCAGTGACCGTGTGATGCAGGACTGAGCCACGTGTCGTACGTGTGTCCACAGGGCCGACGTGGAAGCAGCTCACAACAGCAATACCAAAGAAATCAAAGCTGTGCACTCTGCCCACGCCAAGGAAGCAGCCTCTGTGACCAGTCAGAGGTTCTCTGAGAGACTGCTGGCCAGCAGCCCCCCGTGGGAGGCCCTCTCAGAGCCATGCCCATGCTGGTTGGCAGGGAGTGCCCTGCCTGACGTGCTCACCAGACCCAGCCGGGAATGAAGAGAAATCGATTGGACTGTTCTGTCCACCGACGACGCTGTGGCTGCGCTATCCACTCCAGCCCCTCTGCTGGCCAGGCAGGACCTCCCTCCCTCTTGCGTGTTCTCAGTCAGCTTTGGCCCTTCTTTCCCCCTCCTGGGTTATGATTCTGTCATCTGCAGACTAGACAATACCAAACAGAGACAGAGGCTTCATCCAGCTGCCCCTTTCTGTGCCCATCAGAAGTGTCCAGGCACACAAAAAGGTGTTGGACTCATTGCCATTACCCACTCAGAGGTGCCTGGGAAGACAAGGGTCACCAGGAGTCAAAATCGGCTGGACAGTAGCCAACATAGCCAACAGCCACAGATGTCCTTTGCACTTAAGAACTCAGTGCTTCCAGACTTAAGTGGGAGGCAGCCCTGGTATAATAGAGAGAACAAAATTTTTTTTAAAAGAAGGAATGAAGAGAGGAAGGTACTATCATTTTCTCAAGACCTTTTCTTCCTTTCTTGGACTTAAATGAAACTTCCTTTCTTTAGGACACAACAGTGACACTCCTTGGTCCTTACTGAATCGTGTAGGTTCCACTTGGCAAATTAGACATCTCAGTCGACCTCCGCATTTGTGTTGCTGTGATGTCACTGTCCCGTATTGTCAATAGTGCCCTTTTTTGGGGGAAAATGACTTGCCATTCAGAGCCTGGGCCTCCCACTGAGAACATGACCCTCCTGGTTTACTGGAGGAGAGGTGGCCGCTCTCCTGGGAAGGGGCTGGGCAGCGTGCTGAGGACCATGAGGACTGGATGCCCACACTGACAGCAGGAAGTGTGCACTGGGAGGGTCCTCACCAAGGTGGTGTATGCTTCCTGATAGTGGCCTCTGTGGCCAAAGCTTTGATGGAACCACAGTCTATCAGCGGATGGTTGATTCCAGAGGGGACACTGACCCAGGATTCAAAGAGTAGTTGGGGAGGAGCATTGGACAGATGATCAGAAGAAGGAGAACATCTGTCTCACAAGAAGTACAGAGTGCTCTGCAGAAGCAAGAATGGTGAGACTTGGTCTCACATACTTATGGCATCAGGCAGGGACTGTCCCTGGAGAAGGACATCATGCTTGGAAAATTGGAGGGTCAGTGAAAAACAGGGAGACCCTTGTAAAGGGAGCAGATGTAACACTGAGGTGGATGAGTCTGACTTCTACCCACTTGATAAAGGGAACTGTCCCCATCAATAATATCATAGTACTAACCAAATAGTTACATAGTCAGACACGTCACCCCACATGCACCTGCACCTTTTTCTACCAATTATTTGGTCCATTGTTTGTTGCAGATTAACTCACAGGCTCCTCACAGTTGTGAGGTTTATTAGAGAAATAGGTTGGGGAGTAGGAGAGGCAAAGAATATCACATAATGCAAGTCCACATTTAGTCCAATAGTCCCAAGCCATATTAACAAGGCGTAGTTCTTCAATTAGTAAAAGTCCAGGTTCAGTTCAGCAGTGCAGGTGCACCTCTGGTTTCCTGAACCATCCAACAAACTTTATCTCAGAGCAGTGAGAAGTCAGCTTTTCCTGCAGTCATCCAGCAAGCAAAACCTTTAACTGTGGCTCCATCTCCAGGGTTCCTCTGGTTACACAAAACCACAGTCTCTTCACAGCAGTGCCACAGACCCTTCATCTTCTCTCCACCACTAGTTCTTACAGTGTGGAAAGTGTTTTCTTATTTTGGTCCCATAGCTGTTGATTTTTAAGACCATGTGTCCACAGTTGAGGTAGCTGGAGACCCTGCCCCCAGTGGGGACAAACATAGTGGACGGAGAAGACAATTTTCAAGGTTTTGCACACCACAGCCCTCAATGAGATGGATTCACACAAAGACTGCAATGATGGGCTCAGAAATAGCCGTGCTTGTAAGGGTGACCGAGGGCCAGCAGAGTTTTGTTCAGTTGTGCATAGGGTCAGTGTGCGTCAGAGCCAACTCAGTGGCACCTGACAACAACAAAAGAATGGGAACTTAAAGCCGGAGTCGCCTTTGCTAACCTCTCTCTTCTCTCTTCTCTCCTCTCTCTTCTCTCTTCTCTCTCTCTCTCCTCCCC